GGGGGGGGGGGGGGGGGGAGGGGGGGGGGGGGCGTGTTAGCTGGAATGAACATACCAAACAATAATTAAGATAAACTGGTAGTCTATTACGCGTGTTTATTCTACATGTATACGCATGCACTATGAAGGCTGTTTGAGCATTTGTTTGTCAGCTCTTAATTTAAGCACAAAACATCACAATGTGCTATCTATGCTGTCCTCACTACGAGTATCGAAACTCGTTTGTTAGCGTTGCGAGCCCTCAGATTTACCGCTGTGTCAGTGTGTGTGTGTGGGGTGGACTGTTTGTTAACGTTGTTTGTTTTTTAGGAGTTGTTAGTGGCATTGGTTAAAAGGAGGAGCTTCTTGATACATAAACAATGTATTTCTACAGAACTTGTTGAAGAGTGTATATTCAGCTGCTTATTTCATAGATGTTAATAATTTTGTAACCCTAAATGTGATTGGCAGTTTTGTAAGCAAGGGCGGGCTCTTGGTGAAAGGGTAGGTGTTAGTATTAGTTTATGTACAGATAATTTCATTTGATCTATATAAACGTTTGCATTTCGAGAAAGATATATCTGGGAAGAGAAATCAGCTACCTTACTATCTACCTGTCTGAAAGATAGGCGTATAATGTCAAGTATTCTGATTATGTTAGTTTCGTTCGCTTTTCTGTCAGTAGAGAGCTGCGGTAGTAAATTTTTCCCTCTCAGTTATTCCCGGGACACGTCTGTGAAAGCAGTTGCTGTTTTAACTGGTGAGGAAGTAAACGGCATTCTGAATTTTACACAAGAGGTATGATTTGTACTTTATTGAATGAGTGTTGTTCCGCAAGACGTAAGAAGAAAAACTTGGGTGAAATATAATAACGAGTAAATTTACACGTTTAGACGTGCCAATTTACCCTTACGTTATCTTTTATCCAAGTTTGTACTATATGGTCATTTTGTAAAGAAATATGATAAATTTTCATTTCTTTTTAAATTTATTTTAAAGAAAATTACTTTCAAAAGTAACTTCATGAACTGAAAACGATTGTTTGTTTGTTAAATTTCGCGCAAAGCTACACGAGGGCTATCTGCGCTAGCCGTTCCTAATTTAGCAGTGTAAGACTAGAGGGAAGGCAGCTAGTCATCACCCCTCACCGCCAACTCTTGGGCTACTCTTTTACCAACGAATAGTGGGACTAACAGTCACATTATAACGCCTCCACGGCTGAAAGAGCGAGCATGTTTGATGGGACGGGGATTCGAACCCGCGACCCGCAGATTGCGAGTGGAGCACCCTAACCATCTGGATCCTGAAAAACGAGGCTTTTGTTTTAAGTCTGTTACTACTGCACTGGAAAAGTTTCGCAACTGTATTGTGTACGTTATAATTAATTACACTTGTCTTGAGACAATAGTAGTAGGTCTATTGTATTTTAACACTGAATTTTTTATTCAGTCCCTTTGAGTTTGTTGAATATCAAGAAAAGAAAGTATAATAGCCTAGAAAAGGCATTCATGTAATCACAACTGTTGTTGTTATGGTATGTACTACTTAGATGAAATGATCACTGCTGTTGTACTAAAGTAAAAAATTGTTGACATTTTGAATGTACGAAATAAACGTAATTTGGTTTCCTTTGAAAAAAACAAATTCGATGCATAAAACTTTTTTTTTAAATTTAACGACAGAAAGGACTCGGATTTTGAGCTGCACAGTCGTAATGCAGAATACAAAGTGCAATATAAATTATATGAATAGTTTTGTCTTTGACCATTATGATTTTAAACAAAAGTAAATTTTATATTAAAATAAACAAACTAATGTTGTTTTCCTGAATTTCTATTAAAGTTTTGTTAAAAGTATATTCACTTATTGTTATGACTTTATAAAAGGAAAATATACAATTTTTCTATTTTGTCTTTTGATGTTGCAGTGTGTATCTCAGTAAACTATTTTATCACAATAACATTAATATTACTAAATTTGTGAAAATATTATTGTAATAATATATACAAACTAAGTTTTCAATTCCTATCCCATAAACAGAAAACTTCTAATACATTATTTATTTCTTGCTTCCGAGATTTATTTCTTTCAAGATTGTATAATTCTTAAACTTATAAGCTTATACAGTGCATTACTGTTACTCGAGATGGTTATTATCTCGACTCGCAATCTGAGGGTCGCGGGTTCGAATTCCCGTCACACCAAACATGCTCGCCCTTTCAGCCGTGGGGGGCGTTATAATGTGACGATCAATCCCAATATTCGTTGGTAAAAGAGTAGCCCAAGAGTTGGCGGTGGGTGGTGATGACTAGCTGCCTTCCCTCTAGTCTTACACTGCTAAATTAGGGACGGCTAGCGCAGACAGCCCTCGTGTAGCTTTGCGCGAAATTCAAAACAAACAAACAATTATCTAATGTATATATTGTTAAATGAGCTCTTACAGCTCAACTTTTCGATTTTTTTTTTTTTTGTAAACCAGAGATACGAAACTTTCTACTAGAATGTGGTTCATTGATCATAACACCGTTTGTGTTCTCTAATCATCAAGTTTATGATGCAATTTGCAGGCTTGTGATTGTCCCATAATAATCAGCGGTGAAATTTCCGGTCTTTCGAAAGGACTACACGGATTCCATGTGCATGAATATGGTGATCTAACAAATGGTAAGAACATACATAATTACTTCGTACTCGTAACGTTAAGAGTTACGTTTATCTCTGTGTAAGCTTTCTAAATAACGATTGATCTTCTTTTTTTAATTTAGATTTCAAAAACTTGATGCTTTGTTTTCTTAGTGTTAATTTTAAAACTACGTCATAGAAAACTTGGCTACAGTGACAACTTCGGAAGTGTTTGTAAACTGTACTTTTTCTTCAAAGGATCTAAGAAACTATGGAATATATATCAATTGCTATAATTTAGCGCTGCTCTACGCCTTTAATATTATTATTATTAATATTAGGAGTAAAGTGAGACCTCTTCCAAACATTTATTTTTGAAAAAAAAAAACGATGATAAAATTCACATAATTTTAAACTAACCAAGAGTTTTTACTAATCAAACTTATTTTTCTGTTTTTTTTGTTATACTTCAGATATTTTTATAGAGATTATCAAGATGTGGCCTATCTATAAAGTTCAGTATAAAATGGGTGATTATAATTATCATATGACTAAAAATATGACAGTGTTTGAAGATGTATTTTATTAAAAAGTTGCATTAACAGATAACGTATGTTATATTTTTAAAATGAACTATGAATGTTATTTGCAATGAAGAAAAGTAAAATTTGCTGCATATCCGCACATTTGTTAATTTTTTTCAGCACGGTAATATTTTAAATGTATTGAAGAAAAAACTACTTATTCATGAACTGTTTTTAAACTAATTATTAATCTATTCATATCCAGGGTGCACAAGTGCAGGGAGTCACTTTAACCCTTTCAAACTAAGCCATGGTGGACCAGGTGACAGAATTAGGTAGGTAAATTAACTGCATTATCGGTGTGTACATGCACCTGTTGGGTGGTTATTTCAATTTTTTACAGTGTCTATGAAATAATTGTACCTATTCATCTAAGTGTTTATAAAACCTAATGCTTTCTTAATTAAGTTGATTTTGTTTTTCAGGATTACATCTTTATTAGGCCTACAGTTACGTCATATAACAAACTTTCTTTTTTTGCCAACTAAATTCTTATAGGCTTGAGATGACCTGTAAATTATTTACATAATTTTATCAACAGCAAACAGAATTCAAAGGTTGTAGATACAGGTAAATGTAAATTATTTTCTTACTGCTAACACAAATGTTTAGCAAAATCATTTACTTTTAATGATCCTGAAAACGTGAAACTTGACAATGTTATTATAATGGAAAAAACAAATAATATATTTGAACAACATTTAAATAAAAATCATATATGAAATAGTACACTATGACTGAATAGGAATAGTGTTTTATGTAAACTACTGTAGTTAAACAGAGCTTTTATGAATAATTAGTGTTTTGCTAATCAAAGAATGTGAAACATAATATAATAGTCAAAATTGTGTAAAACCTTATTTTGTAAAAAGAAAATGCCCATAGTATTTTCGTAAATTACGATTTAGCTCTAAAATTATAAGCCCCCAGTGGCACAGAGGTATGTATGCGGATTTACAACGCTAGAAATCGGGTTTCGATACCCGCATTGGTTAGAGCACAGATAGCCCATTGTGTAGCTTTGTGCTTAAAACTGGGGGCCTAAGAGATTACAGGGGATTGAGTACGTTATATGAAAATGATTTTGAATATACAACTTAGTAAGTTGTATGAAGCCACAGCTGATATAAATTCGTTGTGGAACAGAATGTATCAGAACTACATTTCAATATTGTTTGGTGTTTGGTAGGTAGTGTTATGCAACCTAAATTTTTTTGGCAGCGAATGTAATAGCCCTTTTCGATGCAAGGTATTCATAAACATGGATCGTAAAGATCTGTTCAGATCGATATCTCTTGTATTTAATGGCATTGGAAAATAAAGGAATATGAATCAACTTAGGGTCCTAGGACCATTCAGAAAAAGATCTACAACGAGTCGTACCCTAGCTGTTGTAAACAAAGTAAAAATGTCTTATAACAGGTGATAATTTACTAACACAAGGCTCAGTCCACGTGCCCATGGAAACAGTAACAACACAATCAAGAAAGATCTCCACCTGGAAAAACAATACACATCACGTGTATACTTCCAAGATATATCAGTTGAACCATTGCATACGTCAAGTGGTTGTGGAATGAAACTAGCATTTTTGGTATTCCTTATGGATGCAACGCTTATGAATTACTGTGTGATTGGATTGTTGAATCAAGCACTTGGAACCAATATCCTCGTCTACTAGATGCATTGTTGGAAACCCAACAGGGATGAATGGTGTGTTTTGGACATGACAACATCATGACAGAGTTTTTGCAATGTAGACTACCCCGCAGAGTTATTACCAAAATGCACAGTAGTCATACAGAGTGTTGATGAGATTCCAAAACTGTTTGAATATAATGTACTAAACTTTTGTGTAACTCTGTGCTTTCCGTTACAATTTAATTATGATTAAAATGTCAGCTTTCAGCCTGTAGCTTCATCAGATTTAAAAACCTAAAACACTGTTCTTTACTTATGTTTTTATTCCCGAATAAAACTTTTTAGGAACATGATTTTACTAATCTAACACTGTGTATAAAGACCCTTTGCAGTGTTGACAGTATGTAAGTCTACATAAGTCAACTACATAGATTCGTCTAGTGAAGAGTAAACTTATTTGATTATATGACAGGCATGTTGGAGACTTGGGTAACATAGAAGCTGGTGATGACGGTGTGGCAAATGTGCACAAAACGGATAAATTACTGTCATTGTATGGACCGCTAACCATTTTAGGACGGGCAGTTGTGGTAAGTTCTATTGGAGGTGTATATATTTACTGAAGTATTTTGATTGGTTTTTCTACATACATTTGTTAGTTTACGTATCATATCTAAACAGCACATTATGATTGAACTTTTGGTGCCATTTTCATATAACTAACGTCAATGGCTAGTAGGTAAAACGTATTTCAAAACTAAATTAAACAATGTTTATTAGGAACACAACTACTTTCAAAGTGCTAAGTATGAATATCTTAAAGGCAGACCGTGCATGTTAAATGAATACTTCAAAAAATTCTCATTGAAAACATAATATGGTTATTTTACTTCTTAGGTTCATGCAAACCAGGATGATTTAGGAAGAGGAGGACATGAGCTCAGTAAGATAAGTGGTAATGCAGGTGGGCGAGTTGCTTGTGGAGTGATAGGTATTAGTAAGTAATATCTTGGGTAAAAAAAAATCTGTATTAAGCTATGGTATACATTCCAGCTGTTTTAGCTTGTGTTTGTTTTTCTGTGATTTATAAGTGGATTTGGTATTTAAGGTATATGTATTACGAGAGGTATGATAACGTATAATAAAGTATATTTAAAAAACAATTCTGCCTTATTCATGAGGTTTTATTTCAGCAACTTAGATGAGTAACCAAAAGGCAAAATTTTGAAGACTTAAATGGTGAAACAAAAAATAACAAATACGCTTGTTAACAATAAACAAACAAAACATAAAAGCATAGTAAGATAAAAAGAAGTCACTAACCACTAACTCAATATGGTGATACGGAAAACTTTGAGTTAAAAGTGTGCCTTGTTTACTTTTTTATTATAATTCAGTGTTAAATGGTGAAACAACAAAAAACAACGACAACAACTTTGAGTTCCAACAATAGTTAATTTTGCCATTAATAATATTATTTATCCATAAAAAGCGAACTGTATTATTGTTTCGAAATAGTCTCATACATTGTAGTGAGGCATTTTATCGAAACTACAAATGCTTCTAGGAGAGAAAATGGACTTTTCTATGTATGCCACACATACATGGCAGTTGTAGAAAGAATATGCACATCAACAAGCCTATAGTAGCCGCTTTGTACGGACGATTTTCCAAAAAGGGATTGTTTTTGTTACAGTAAGATATACAGATTTACTGAGATTCGTCACCAATTGCGACATCATAAATAGATACCAGCAGTTCGTCTTGTCTCTATAAACAGACGCGATTGTAACAGAGAGAAAGGCTACAAAAAAGTTTATGTTACCTGCACTAATTACGGAGGTGAATTGATAAACAAAAAGGAGAAATACAAATAGGCAGTCGATTAACAACTCCGGACCCTATCCAATTAATATCCAGTTTTGTTTCAATGAATTAACAACTAATCGGCAAAATTTAACCAATTAGACGAAGGACCTACTTGTGGACTGTATATGCAATGCTATTTGATAAATTGTAATAACACATGGAAATACGTACAAAACGTCATGTTTTCGGGTCCAAAATCAATTCTCCCAGGCGTTCCTGAAGTCAGTCAAACCCGAACGAGTTCTCCTCGACGTTTCTTGTGGTCAGACGAACCTGCACCAGTTTTCTCCGAATAATCGAGAAGCCAGACTACTTTATACCCGTCAGAAGATGACCGTTTTGCAACCACTTCGCCACTTTCAGCAGAGAAACTCTCTCTAAGTATCGAATGCTACCTTCTCTGGACTAACAACTTATAGCATATAAGGTTACCTGTATGAAAATATTAAAATGTTGAAGGAAAATTCACTTATGAGAAGTTGTAAGCAATATGTGTAAATTGAATTATGTCTGAACATATTTCACGTAATAGTTAATTGTATAATTTGTTCACTATATTGTCAGAATTAATTAATCTTATAAAAGGTTTAATTAATGAGCAATTACATAAGCTGAACGAAGATTCTGATAAGTTTGATGTAGAAATATTCCAAGACGACCTCGGTGCATTCGATATCAATGAATATTCAGATATTTTGGATATGGAGATTGAATAAAGTATGGTTTATTGTTGTATTATCAGACTCTGTGTCAATTTCTTTGTTCCAAACGTAAATTCCTCTAGTTGGTGGCCTGTATGTTACTCAGCTACAACACCTTGGCCCGGCATGGCCAGGTGGATAAGGCGCTCGACTCACAATCTGAGGGTC